CAAATAAAAAATTGGACTTTGATTAAAAGTTGAGGGATCCTCAAAATCATAGAGATTCATCCTCTCAGCCCCGAGAATATCGGTATCAAAGTTAATGGCAAAACAGGCAATGGTTGTTGAGACCTTTCACAAAAAAAAATTAAACCTAGTGGTGGTGTTGAATGAAAAGTCTGATGATAACAAAGGTCACTGAGATTCGTCCTCTAGCAACCATGAATGTTTTACATCATTTGAATCCATCTAAAACTAGTAGAGATATTTCAATCTCAACCAAGACAAACTATTTACAAAGTGTTATTCCTCTAAAGTGACTGAAAATTCAGCAACACCATCTCTTACCTTAAATTATCACTCTACTCTACAATCTCTCTCCAAAAAATGTGCATGTGCATGTCTTTGAGCCCTCTGTGTGTGTGTGTGTGGGGGAGTGGAAAAAGAATTCCCCCTTGTGGGATAAATAAAGGAAGTTGAAGTTTAAACCAAGAATCCATCCAACAGAGCAAAAGTATCCAAAACAACTAGCTAAAGACAAAAAGTCTTGGGAATGAATGAAAATAAGAAGGATGAAAAATGAATGAAATATGAAAAGGACGCCGGCAAACAACGTCCGATGCTTGAATATATAAACGTTCTCTGTGTGTCTAATGTCAGCTCAGTTTCTAAGCAACAGTAATAAACTCAATAATTGTGGAACACAAACAAAAAGAAAAAGTATCAAAATTACTGAATAATCTTTGGATCTCCTCCACAGGAATGTCCGAGCGGAGTGGTGAATGAGGAGACATTTAAACACATCTATGCACAGTTCTTCCCTCATGGAGGTAAAGTGTGATGTTCTTGGTCTTTCTTTTCTCTGTGAAGCTTCTTGAAAAGAGAAAACCTCACACGTCTATGTTTTTTGTGGCTTTCAGACGCGAGCATGTACGCACATTATCTTTTCAATGCATTCGACACTACAAACAATGGCTCCATTAAATTTAAGGTAAGGAGAAGTCGTCACTGTACATCCCCGTTCTGTGATGTTTTGAGAAGCCGGTTCTATTCTGTTCCTCTGTCCTTTTCTGCCACTGCCAGGACTTTGTGATGGGCTTGTCTATACTGCTGCGGGGGACTCTGAGGGAAAAGCTGGAGTGGACGTTTCACCTGTATGACATTAACAGAGATGGATACATAAACAGAGAGGTGGGACCGAGTTGTCACAGCTTATACAGTGTTTTGTCTCTGTGTCCTCCAATTATAAGAACCATTCTTCTTTTCTTTCAGGAGATGACTGAGATTGTGCGGGCCATTTATAACATGATGGGAAAGTACACCTACCCTGCACTCAAAGGAGATGTCCCACAGCAGCATGTGGACGCCTTCTTTCAGGTTCAAAGTTCATCTTTGAATTATTATATATTTGTGGAACAGTGACAGGTTATTTAAGCCTTTATTTAAACCTAGCTATGTCTCTCATCACACTCCAATACCTTCTGTTGTGAACCTGTCTGCCTTTTATTGAGACACTCTGCTCATGTTTTCAGATAAAGCAGATAAAGTTTTATGCCATAAATAGTCCGTAGTGTTTCGTCTGTGATTGCAAAATGACACACTGCAACAACCGCAGAATCATTACTAATGATTCTGACTAATGACTAATTAATTTACATCTGGAGCAGATTCACATTTTCTTCTGTCACTTTGTTTTTCCAGAAAATGGACAAAAACAAAGATGGAGTGGTGACTTTAGAGGAGTTTGTTGTAGCCTGTCAGGAGGTACGTATTGTCCTTCATCTGTGATTCTCTTCATTTCCTACATAACAAGGAAAAAGTGAGAATATTTAACCAACTTAAATATTGCTGCCAACTTCACAGTGTCAATATTTAGTTGCACTGAGGACTGTTCCCACTAATAGTCATTTGTTATGTGACCAAATAATTACTAAACTCAAACATTCACTAACCAGCATGAATGAATTACAGAGTATGTCCACATTTGCACACACACAAGACAAGAAATCTTAATTTAATTCACATTTACTTTATAAAAACATTATGAACATAATAAAAATGTTGTAATATATATAATTACACAATTAAAAAAACATTCAACACACACATTTAACATCTAGTATTCAGCCCTTACTTTTATTACATTATCTGCCTTCATTCTTCTAATGTCTTGATAACTAAATTTAATGTTATTATTTTACTATTGTCTATTTCTCTTGTAAATATTATTTTTATCACTCTATATACCTTACTGTGTACACCATGTTCAATATGTATAACGGTGTGACAACAAATCCTGTTGCATCTTGAATATATCATGTTCATATTTGCAAGTTTAAATGAAAGTTAAATGAGGTTATACATTAATGAAAATGTTAAACATTAAAACATCCACACCTCCTCCAGACACAGTCCTGTTCAATGGAGAGAGAAATGAATCATTTTGTTGAATATATTGAAATCTGCTGTCTTCCTACAGTATTGCAGTGTTAAAAGTGCAGTGTGAGTTAATCACTCTGTCCTGATCACTCGTCTTCACTCTCTGCAGGATGAGACCATGATGAGATCCATGCAGCTGTTTGAGAATGTGATGTAAGCAGAGACAATGGGAGACGTGGCCAACGAGAGGGCTTGGTGTGAGTGCGTGTGTGTGGATGCATATGTGCAATACATCCAGTCTCTCCTCCTCACCCCCCATCTCATCCAGCTGTGGTCTGGATACATACAGCCAGAGGAAAACCCTGCACAGACGTAAATGAAGGGCCTGGACTGGAATGCTTTTAAAAAAAAACAGGCCTTCCTGGAGATTCATCACACAACAATACAAAGTGGCTGAGAGCCTCGGACATAAACACATCACTCTTCTCGATCCTGTCTTGAAGACTGAAGATGCTCCTGCATTACAAGGCTGCTCCCAACCAGCAAAAAGCTATTTGTTCAACCAGCAGAACTATTTATTTTCCCCTATAAGCTGTTTCCTTCATCTTAGCCAAAAAAAACAAGTGCATGCTTTTGCAAGAGCTTTTGGTTTCTCTTCAGATCTTTCGCCATGAGGACTTCTCCTACATTCTAACAGTTGAGTTATATGGCATATTTCAGATGTCATGTATTGGTTGCACCGCTGCAGTGACCTCCCTGTACTGTTTGTTTTGGCCTGGCTGTTGCTTGCCTGCTGAGTCAAATCAATGCTTGTTGTTACGTGTCTGTCTAAAGCTTTCAGTAGAAAATCATACAATTTTAAGCAGCGCATTTCGTGGGGTCTTTTAAGATGTGTGAGTGTGTCTATCCATCTATGTTTGAACTAATGTTTTAGTGAAGGAGAAGTAAAGAAGAAGTGGATCCATTCTTTTTTATTTTCACCTACTGTTTTGCTTCTTGTGATTAAATCGATGTGTTGTCAAAAAAAAAGGATTGTGGAAAATGTTCATACGTTTGAAGACGGTGTGCAAATTCATGAAGTTGAATAATAATGAAGAATCTTAAATCATAAAACCAATGTCTTAGTTTTGGACTTGGAGACGGCAACAGGGATGTGAATAAAATATTTGTATGTCATATCGGTCTCTCGATGGTGGCTGCTGGATGGGATCCTGCTTTGAGAAAGTCCTGAGAAAGTTGCAGGGAAACACGACTGAATGTGATATTTGGATGACGCTGAGGACGGCTCCCTCTGTACATGTGAACATGTGCTGCTGCTTCCTCCCTCCGAACCAAATCTGTGATGTCACGCTGATATACACAGGCGCCTGCAGACTCTTGCAGCTCCCTGCAGATGGTTTTCCGTGAGTCACAGTGCGTTTGAAAGCACCACTGTTACAGAAAACTTACAAGGCTATCGTAGTTTAAGCTTTGAAATATTAATCGCTGTTCTTTTCGTCATCAGTGGAGCAGCTCTTTGCTTAAGATACGTCTGCAAGACATCACAGCCTCTCCCCAGATCTCTGATATTTGGTTTGGAGTTGTTATATCTCACAAGCTAAATGATACTAAGCCATACAAGAATAAATATGTAAATTCTCAAACTGAGTTCTTTCCTTTGTGCAAATGTGTATGGTTGAGTGTCCATTGGTCTATGACCGTGTACATTTAATCTGCGTGCTCTTAAGAAAGCAGCATTTTTGACTTTCCAACATATAAAGTGATGCTAATCATCATGGGAAAACACAAATAAAAAGTGGACAAACATTAATGTTGACACTTCTGTAGAGGAACAGTAGTTATAGTCTGAATGGTTTGATGTAAATAAAAAATTAAGTGAATTATTGTAGCCGCCAGATCAAGACTTATAGGTCTGATGGCGGGAGGTAGGAATGGATGGATGGATGGTTGGATGAATGGATGGATGAATGGATGATAGACGGATGGATGGATGGTTGGATGGATGGATGGAGGTAGGAATGGATGGATGAATGGACGGATAGATGGATAGATTGATAGACGAATGGATGAATGGATGGATGGACAGATAGATTGATAGATGGATGAATGGATGGATGAATGGATGGATAGATGGATGGATATGATAATAAAAAGCTATCAGATACTGCAGTACATGAGTGCACCTTTGGACTGTGCAGTGTTTTTCCCACACCGCCGCACCGCAGGGTGTCGCTGTGAGTCTCCGGCCTCTGCACTCCGGAGAAGAGAGGAGGCGGGACACGTGTGTCGGTGGTAAGCTGGTAACTAGTGGTAGTAGTCGGTTAGTCCTCCACCTCCGAAGAGCAGCACCGGACCGACCCCACAGCCACATCCACAATGAACGGGTTAGACGAGGAATCCATGGCGCCACAGACGTTTCTTTACGGTGAGAATAACGCGCGCGCGTGTGTAGTGTTAGAGAGTGTGTGTCCTCATGTGACTTCTGCTGGACACGCGCACACACACACACTAAACCGAACCAAACCACGTGAAATGTAGCAGCGCGTGGTTGTGTAACATGTCTGTCATATGAACACATGTAATAATAGTGTGCGTCAGTACTGTGTGTCAGTGAAGCTGCAGGTTCTCGGAGTCCCGCTCACCAACGCGGTCTTACACGTGTTCGATATCAACATGGCGGCGCCCGTCTCTGCTCCACACTGTTGATATTTCACACGTTTCTCTCCACCGCGCCTTCAGACACGTGTCTGTGCTTTCACCGGCGTGTGTCAGTGATCGAGTCTGAGCTCCGGCTGAAGCATGAGCCGACACTTCTAGCTCGGCACGTTCAAATCATCTCAACGCGGGTGAAACTCGTGAGGACCACGTTGAGATTCTCTCAGTCACTTTCTATAAGTGTTCAACCATCAATACAGCTGCAGGATTATTGGTTTGCTCGGATCATCTCCCACACTGACCTCACACGAGGGCTTTAACAAGAGCTGAAAAAGAACATAATATCATGTAGAATTAGTTTTTGAAACATTTACCATGTGAAAATAATTTCCCCAGCCTTGTTTAAAGTGAACTATTTAATTTCAGTAACAAGTCAATCAGGATTCCATCTTGACAACTGTCTCGCAGGAGTATTTTGAGACATGAGCTGCCACTGATATACAGCAAAGTACTCTTTACTGATTCTATAATAGTACCTGTATGTCCTTCCATTACAGATATCTTTCCTTTGAATTGAACTAGATACATGTGTAACTGTATAGGTAGAGTACAATTAAATGGTGATTATCTGCCACTGTTATAACAGTAAAAACTTGTTTTTAAGAAGCATCCTCAGTTTAAGACAGTTAAACTTTTTACCAAACAGACATAGTTTGCTGTGAAATGATTTGAAAGAGGTTTCTCCTTACTTCCTTTTGCTATGGGTCATGTGGAGATATTCATAATCAGTCGTTTGCACAGCGCCCTCCTGTGTTCATTGGAAATACAGCACTTTACACTGGCCTGCAGAGACGTTTTTAACACAGTGACTAATCCACCAGATTCTATCCTTCACATGCCTCCACTTTGTGATCATTCATTAACTGTCTACTTGAAATCTTTTTAACAGGCTGTGTGCTGGAAGCTGGAAAAGAGGTGGTGTTCAATCCTGAGGATGACGACTTTGAGCACCAGCTGGATCTAAGGATGGTAAGTACCATATCATACTATACTAGAAAGACTCAGTAGAGCGCATACGTCTGTAAAGGTTCAACAGTCCTGTTACATTAAATTAACCTACATTAAGTTTCACACACACATAGATATCAATTCCCTTAATATGCTTGATTGTTTTTCATCAAGATGAATTAAAACCACAAATTATTCTCTGGGAAAACTGAAAACTATAGAAAAACTTTCATGAAAATCTTTTCAGCTGTTTTTGTGTTATCTTGCTTACAAACATAAATACCAATCAGTCAACAATTGGAGGCAGTATTCCATTGGAATTACTTTTGGAGCTATAATAATTAATTGATTGAAATTACTTTAACAATAAGATTAACCTGCAACTGTTTTGCAAATTGGTAAATTCACTAAGCAAAATATTATCTTTCCACTTAGTTTGAAGAAGAATTTAAAGCTTTTTGTGATTTTTTTTTTTTTTTTTTGTGAGAGAGTGGTACTTCAGAAGGTTGCTTTAGCAGTTGATGATCATCAGATGGGCTCTGAACGTAGAATCACAGTCAGCTCTTGTCGTCTTTAGGCCTGCGTGGACCCCGCCACCAAAGACGAACTTCACATGGTGGAGGTGGAAGGACAAGACACAGAGGGTCAGAAAATTAAGGCAGCGCTGGTTTCACTGAAGCCCTCCACCCTCCCCAGCGTGAGTAAACACCTTCTTGGCTGCATTTATGTACAGATGCACAAAACAAACTTTTTAACTTGATGCACTTGGAAAAAGTTGATTTAAAAAAAAAAAAAAAATCTGAATTCTCATTGCAGGTTTGTCTTGGTGGTTTCACAATCACACCTCCAGCAGTTTTCCGTCTCAAGTCAGGTTCTGGTCCGATCCACATCAGTGGACAGCACCTCGTCAGTGAGTATTTGTGACCAGAGTGTCAGGGTGTTTGACGTGAATAGGAACATGCACATCCAAACCATTCTTCTTCGCTGTTAATCTAATCTTTTGTGTCTTAAGTGATGGAAGCTGATCAGTCTTTTGATGAGGATGATGATGATGTAGAGGAGGAGGAGGAAGAGGAAGTCGCAACATCAAAGAAGAGAGCTGCTTCCTCTCCTGCACTCAAGTCTCAGGTTTGTTTTACAGCCTTTACTACATCATCACTGTCGCTTTGGTTTCAAATTTGACACTGTTGAAATGACCACAACTCATGTTTTACCTCCTTCCAGAAAAAGATGAAAATGGACATTGAGGAGGAAGATGACGATGAGGATGATGAGTGAGTGTCAGGGTTACACATATTGACATGATGGTCAAGTCCATTTACAAACACGGTGTGGGGGCAAAATCTGAAGATCAAGAACTCTCTTATGCAGTTTTTGTCGGTGATTATAACAATGTACATCAGAATTTTTTTATTATATATTTTTTCTAAATATTGTTCGAACAGCTTAGACCTCTGGCATCAGTTTAATGTTTTAACTGCATGTTGAGGTCACTCCTGCTGGAACCTTAATCTGATTCAGCTCATCTTAAAGCCAGCAGGCTAACGATATCAAGAGCCGTCAGTGTTCACAACAGCAGGCGACTGTTTTAAGACAAACAAACAAGGTTCTACTTGATGAATTTGTGCCTTTTTGTTTCAAATTGTTGGTGAAACTATTTTTTTTTTTACACATTGAAGAGTAGCCTCCTACATATGATCCACATCAGATTCAGAGAACTTCTCAAACATACACTTTTTATAATATTGTTTATATTGATATTTGATTGAGTGTGATTTTTAATCCTGATGGGTTTTCTTTCTTTCAGGGATGACGAAGAGGATGATGATGAGGAGGATGAGGAGAGCGAGGCGGAAGAATCACCTGTCAAGGTAAATGAACAGCTTTTACAGTCTCTTAGTACCAGCTGAATAAACTGAAGTGTGCTCCCATTAAAAGCTGCATGTTGTTGTTTACAGGTCAAGTCAACACCAGCCAAACAAAAAAAACCTGCTCAGAATGGCAAGAGTCCAAAACCCAGTACTCCAGCTGCAAAGCAGGTAACGGTTTGTACAACATGAACTTCTTCCTATCCACTGAATAGTTTGTGTCCTATGTAAGAAATGTTTTATGTTCTTAGCAGGAGAAGACCCCTAAAGGTAAAGGTAACAAGTCGCCTAAAACGCCACCAACTCCCAAGGCAGTTCTCACAATTCCTGAGATTAAAGCCAAGATGATGGAGGCAGTGAAGAAGGTTGGTGTCTTTGTCCTTTTTTATTTAAAAAATCAGTTTGTTTCATTACTGTTTGTAAAAGTGTTGAATGTGCATCTGCTCATAAACTGCAATTGTTTTCTTGCAGGGAGTGACATTACCCAAAGCTCAGCCCAAGTTTGAGAACTTCGTGAAGCACGGTTACAAAGTCTCTGATGCCAAGGTATAGTATGGAGTTCAAATAGCTTGAAACTCTTATGAGCCCTTCTTCCCTACATATTAGGAACCCACTGGTTAACATTAAGATATTTGGCATGACTACCGCTCCTCGCTCCTCATTTCATTATATTTCTATAGCACTTTTCAACACCAGACAGGTTCTTCATAAAATGTGCAAAGATAACAAATCCCAGAGAAGCCACAGATTATCCTCAACAATGCAATAAAACAAAACGGATACATGAGTGACATTAAAATAAAAATTTACAGAATTGTTTTTTATTTTTTTTACTCGTGCACTGATTCTGTTGTTGCTAAAACTAAAAGCATGATCCCTCAGACACAGTTGTGGTCAAACAATCTAGTGTTTTCTGCTTAATGTACCATGTAGTTGATCTTACCACCAAGGAGCCACCAAATATTTATTTATCACTGTGGAAGAAATAAATACACACAATTATTTGATTGTGCAGATTTGGTTTTGATTTGAACAGCCTTTTTTAATGTTTTTTAATTTTTATTGTTTTTCCCTCAGGACGTCGCAGAGCTGTGGAAGTGGAGACAGGCGGTGACGGACGCTAAATAACAGCCTACACAACAGTTTTATTATCTTTTTTTTATGACTTGTTTATATCATCGCATCTCTGTAGCCAAACTCAGTCCCTTCCAGTCATCATGAATCCATTCAAAGTCTAATCCAGCCTCCTCCTGCATGAAGAGAATGTACAGTGATGTGGCTAGTGAGCGTGCACGGTGATGGTGCATCATGTTTCCACCTCCATATTATTCTCACTGGGGCAGAGAAATTATTTAGTTTGTTGCATACACCCTGGGAGAATCGACTTTACAAATTTGCATCTTTGTAAATGTGTAAATACATTTCTCACTAGATTTCTTTTTTTGGCATCTCTATATGCAAGAACAATAAAACATACTTTTGATCATTACACTTAAAATGACACATAATTCAAAACAATGTCTTATCTATTCAATAAAGCATCTGCTAATTTTGGCCACATCGTCAGTTTTGGTGAATTACCACCAAGAACTTAAGAGAAAATGCACTTTTCGAGATGTCTTGACTGTTTATGCTGCTTTGAGATTCCTGTGGTAAAGACCCCATCACTTGAAAATTGTGTCCGAATTCAAACGTTCTTGCCATTTTCATACATTTTCCCGTCCGCACATGGTCGACCATTTGGTTTAAAGCTCCATCAACCTTTTAGAGCCAAGAGAAATAAGAGCAGCAGCCTCCACCTCTGCTCTCTTGGTCTGCTTTATGGTGCCATGACTCCTGATGTCCAGCAGGCCAAAGGTTAAGTATTTGCTCATCGGGTGACTGACTGCATGAAGGAATTAAAAAATTAGTGTGTTTTGTTGCGTTACCTTTTCAAACCAGATATTGCAGATGTGGAGATGTTTTACACAAGAAATACCCACCTGCTGTTAATTCAGTCCATTTCAGTTTGAAGTTGAGTTGATGGTGTAAATGTTTGTGCATTTGGCCTGTTAGAAGCAGATCATTCCACGTTTGCCAAAAAACTAAGTTTGTTTGATTTAAATATGCTGTGGGTGTAGACTCGCCATCAATGAGTCGTTAAATAAAAATAGATATGGATCCATTACAACTGTTCTGTTTCTGTGCAGCAATATAAAACATGTTGATACGTTTACTACACTTGAGCCTTTTCTCAATGTGAAAACACTTTGTGAATTGTTCTGACACCTGAAGTTAACAGGTTCTCTTTCATGTTTGGAAGGGTGAGGTGAGGTATTCAGCTGTATCATGCCACTTTACCACTAGATGTCACTAAATTCTGTACACTGAACCTTTAAGTTACTACATATATAATAGCTTAATTGTTACCAATTTGCACGTAGTCAGAAGGCTAGAGAATTTGTAGTTTCAGTACCACATGGTGTGCATGATCATATTCCACAAAGTACACATGAAATGAGTCCATCTTAAAATCCTTGTATTGCTTTTTTAGCCTGTATTATAACTTGTATGATTTGTCATCTCTGAGCTGTGAGTATGTTTAGTGCTTTAAAGGCTTCCAGTACTTAAGTAATATGTTTGGTCAGGTTTGTGTTAGCCAATTCTGCAGATAAAGGAAGAAGAAGCAGAGTAGGTCGGTAGGAACCATAGACTGTATATAAAGAACCCATGTATATAAGGAACCCAGTTTCCCTGAAGGCCCCATGCTGAGTCGCCTAAAGATATAGCCCAGGAATTATGAAAATAAATAAGACCGGCTCCTTATCTCTACTTACAATATTATAACTATCAAAAGTTAAGACTCTGCAAATCTACCAGGATTCTTACAGAAATATACAAGACTAGCAATTTTTAGATCATACTGCATCCTTTAATATTCCCTTGTGAAGACAGTTTCACAATTTATAACAGGATTTACTTTGTGTCAGAACATTAGACAACATTGTGACTGACAATGGATAGAGGTCTGTTTCTTTCCATACAAACTTCATATGCTTTGATTAGATCAAGGGTCACATACTGCAGACTAGCACAGTGTTTAATGTGCAGGTTGTTTGCACTATGTGACCCTTGATCCATAGCCCTGCAGTCATGTGACAACTGAATGGTCCTGTAATGTGTTATACAGAGATACAGAGAGTGCTTGAGGTGGGAGAGGGTTGTTTCTGAACAAGCAGGTGTTTACCCATTGGAGAAAAACTAGAGATGTGTTTGTTAGCAGCATTTATTTTATTTGAATACCCTTGTGGAAGTAATAATAATCATAAAATGACAATAGGACCTTTCATTGTATAGCACCTTTTAAAACAGCCATTACAAAGTGCTTCACAAAGAAGACAACGTATACCTGTTCAATTTAGGTGCAGATCCGGATTAGTTGGATAGATCCAGGGTTTTTATTTTCCACTTTCTTTTTTACGTTGTGCAGATCCAAATAAAAATCAGAAGCTTAAAATCTGTGGTACAAGCACAATTAGATTTGAGGATGACACTTTTATTAATTTAATAATACACTTCCTGAATCTTGAAGTTATCACAATGTACATACAGCGTTAATGTAAAAAAAAAAAGAAGAAAGTAATATTCTCTTAAGTTTTTATGACACTTTAGGAAGAAATCAATAGCTTTATGATTTTTGTGATCTTGCCTGAGAGGAGGAAAGAGTAATGATCCATGAGTGGCAGGCAGAATGAGAATAAAGGAAAGGCTAAACTAGAGCAAGACCTCGCTGAGTCTCATAAATCATGAGTGTCCTAACCTGAAGACATATATAATGACAAAGTGAGTGGAGATGAGACACTGTGAAAACAAAGGAGAATTAGGTGAAATCAAACACTGCTCTGTGATGAAATATTACTTTTACGCACATTATGTAACATCTTTAAATGCTTTTACGAGAAACCTGAAACATACTTCAGATAAAAGTACATCATATTAATGTGTCGATGAACTTCTCATAAGAAACTTCATGTCCAAATAAAAACAGTTACCTGTATCTACCACAAGGTGGCAATGAAACCAAAGCAACTTTCATTTAGTTGCCATTATAGAGCTGTGTCTCATGCGCTCGCAGGAAGATGGCTTCCAGTCAGAAACGTTGGGGCTCTGAGGATTTCAGATTCCTGCCTCAGTGGGAGTATGATTTGCAGCCTGCAAATGATGTTCCACTCACTCTTCTAAATACCTTTTGTTTTGTTGGAAGATTTCTGTGTTATGCATTGGACTGAGTGAAATAAAAGATACCTCAAGTCTCCATAGACAACCACAAGGCCATTTGGTCACCAAGGTGACATTTGATGCTTGTCCTTTTTCTATTAATGGTTGCCTCTTATTCTCTCCTTTAAGTTTTTCAACTGCTTTATATATATATATATATATACATCCCACCAAATGAACTTAATCCGATTTGTTTATTGTACATCAGGCCTGATTTAACAAGGTTAACTCTTTTTAAGGTCCAAAACCCAGAAACTCTGTATTTTTAACTTTTATTTTATGTACAACAAAAAGACATTGCAAATCACAAGTTAAAACATTTTTAAAAACTGAGAATTTGATGAGTGCAGCAATAGCTATGGTAAATAAAATAAAAAAAACATAAATGTGAGTCACACCCATTTTACACAGACAGTAATCATGGCAGAACGAGTTGAGTAATGGTTCGCAACATTTCTCACGCCGTGTGATTATGGAAATAAAAAGGAAACAGTAATTTGTGATTTATATATTTAAAGTTTCACTGGAGCATTTTGTTTAAAAAACTAGTCTAAACTGTTGAGTGATTGTCTTGTTCATATAAAGAGGGCACAAACATAGAAATAAATGGGAGCACATTGTTATGTTTTGCATGTAGCCTACACAGAAGTAAAATGGCTGTAGAGTTGACCACTGACGTATCTGATCTCTGTTCAGTGCATTCAAACTATTTTAAAAACACAATGCATTCTCTAATAATGCACAGCACACTGTAGCATGTGGAAATATGTACTGTATACCAGTTGAACAACTTAGTGCTTTTCAGGTGTCAGCTGGATTGTGTATCTCTATGCAGTTTCAGACAAGGCAAAGACAGTGAGCGCATTCTTAGAAGTAAACTGCTAATATTTAAAAACTTTAATGCGTCTGTTAAAATAATATTACAGTAACATCACAGGGAGCCCTGAAGAAACTAAAATACAAAACAGGTGCTGATCGCATCCAGCTGGGGTACATATTTTTCAACGTTAAAATCTCAGAGTTGGACGAGCACAAATGTCAAAGTGTCCTTTTTTTGAGTCCCAGTCCCGTTCAAACGTATTCCTTGCTGCTGGGGGGTCTGGAGATGGGATACTTTGGTGTGGATTTGCCCCGTGGGCAAGATGCTGCCAGCATGCAGCCTCCCACTACGGCCAGGAAAGCTCCAGCCCAGGCGATAAATATGGCAGACCCAAACTCGTACCTTGAAAAAGAGATTTACAAACATTAAAAAAAAGTAGAAAGATGCTTTAAGCGCTTTAATCATGGATGCAAATGTGGGTGCAAATATTTGAATAGAAGGGAGAGAGTAGTATCTTATAAACCGGCATGTTCGGACACAATGTATTCTGCTGAAAATGGCACCAGTCCCAGTTAAACTCGGCTAACTTACAAAAAAGAAAAAACAGGGCAACCACTATGGTGTCTTCTTTTATTGATTAAGGTTTGGAGATCAGAAATAGTCTGCAGACTGGAGTGTTTTTTAGTGACCAATTGAAAGAGGGGAAATTCAGCCACGGTCCAAAAGCAACGAAGTCTATGTTGAGCAGTTGTGACCGCAAAGGGAGGTGCTCAGCCCCTTTCGCAACCACTGCTGTTACCATAGAGCACAAACTAACTCTTGAATACGCCTTTCCGCTTACGGATACTGTTCTGTGCACTTGCATCATATCAATGGCCGATGTTTTTATGTAGCCAAAATGTTAGACTAAATGAAGTACACGAGAACGTACATGCTGCCATTTACTTACTTGGTATTGACAGGGGTGAAAGGGTTGTAGAAGGCCTGGATGATGTCATGAGCGTACCAAGAGCAGGCAATTACGGAACACAAAGCTGTAAGAGAGTGAAGAGCATTAATACTGAACCTCTTACAAATCCAGGGACAAAATAAAAACAGTGACTCATTTAAGGCCCTCTTACCTCCAATCAGGATGACGATGCCACCGGTCATGGCGATGCGGGACTTGCGTGTTTTGTCATCTCCTCCACAGTTGGTGCACTTCATTCCCATGCACGCTACACCCAGACCAGCCAGCGTTACGATGATGCTAACGATCATGAGGGCGCGGGTTGCCTGGAGGGCACCTGGAAAGGAGGGCAGGAGACGGTTATTCCGTTATTCTGACAAATACCAAACGATTAACAGTCATTGTAGTAAAGGTGTGGCAAGTCTTAATAGGTTTTATTAGACTAAAGAACAAATACACATTATTGGCATTAGAGTTCAAATCTACTATGATTTGAGAGAACAACACTTGTATATAAAAGCTTTAATATTTTTGCAGCGTTCCTTTCCTGCACTTAAAAACAGTCATTGTTTGTGTGCAACAGACTGGCTTCTGTGTCGTGTGTCTCTTCGCCACTCCCTCTAACAACGCAACACAGAAACTGGCTCTAACCAGAAGGCAAAAGAACCTGCAGCAGGAGGGGGAGGATGGGTTGGGAGGAAGTGGGTGTGTGGGTTTGCAATGGTGCAAGTCAGAAACAGGTTTAACAAGGTTTCAGGTTTCATTACAAGGAAGACACTCCCAATTTCAGGAGAACACAGCCCGCTTTTCAGCAGGTGGATGTTTCCGAGATCGAAGCTACGCCAGAATGTGAAGAATGTCTTAATCTTTTAAAAGTTTTTAAATGCAGAAGCAGCAGTGCGGGAGTTTTGTTGTCAGAAACGTTTTCCAACTTTTATCCTATGTTTTAAAAACTACAGGTGTGTGTTAGTAGGTTCTGGTATTTGTGAGTAGTGAGTCATTATTTGTGCACTCGCTCCATATCTTTACTAAAGCTTTACTCACACAATGTTTATCAAAGTTGGTTTGTGTTCATGTTTGAAGAGGTGATAAAGACACATTGTGTTGTAGATATCCTATCAAATGTTTTGATTAGCAATAGAATAAAACATTAAAAAAGCAGACAAACTATTTGGGGAAAACGGCCATTTTGTGAGCTAAGCCACCAGTCGACATGTTCTGTAGAGTAGTAAATGTATATATACAAATATGTTGAATCAGGAGGAACCTGTATACAAAACTGTAAAAAAGGCACGTTATGCCTGAGGGCACTCTACCAGTCAGCTGAATTTGAAACCAACCAACTGTCATGGTACGGGCTGTGTTCACCTGAACCGTCATGAGTGACCCATTTAGCCACTGGTTTTATGATCCCAGACAGGAAGATAAAGAGTAATAAAGACAGTTGATGTTCCATGTTCATATTTTTTTTCGTTCCTGGCCCATGTGATGACAGTGAAACAATCAGTGCACTTCAATTTAAATTCTACTGCTGCCCCTGAACCACCCACCCTGCCACATACATTAGCAGGAAGCAGGGCCGACTCAACTTGTTTTAACCTTCCATTATGTGTTGTGCTCAAACATTTGGATTAATTTAACTAAGCATTAATTCTACTAAGACATTTTAAATGAAAAAGTTAAATATATTCAATTCCTGAACGAATGGAACGAACGAATTGTTTTAGGGCCTGCAGGCCGAGGACAAAGCAACTGTCTGTTAAAGGTGGAACTCCGACGTGTTGAGTATACAGAGATCCATACTGGTGTTGTTTAACCTCCACCTGCGTAATTTAAGTCCCACAATGAGGTTATCCACACACGCAGGAGGAGGAAGAGGAGGAGGGGTATCTTTACTGACTACAGGACAATCATTGTCCAGGTGTCAAGGTAATTTACATATTTCCAGATAATAAAGAAAATGATTTCAAACTGAACAATAGGTTGAATTTCAAAGACAATGTCCTGCATTGCCATGGAGCTGATCTGCTGCACTGTGCAGGCGAGGCCTGATCGTGTGGCTTCAACAAAGTTTGCCGAGGGAATAAAAGTGGAGTTAATATGTGACCAAACCGGTTATTCTGTGATCTGGTTAGAGTTCACAACCAACTGTAGAAAATGGCCTCAAGAAAAACACGCTCCTGCAGCCTGGGCCCTGCCACAGGTTAACTGGGCTGAGTGAGGCAGGTTTAACAAGAAAACACACCAGATTCAAGAAGATAAATCTGCAAGCCAAGAAAAGAGATCTGAGTCAAAAGAAACGTGTAAAAGGCTGAAGAGAAAAAAAAAAAAGGATGAGATCCTTATGAAAGCTGTTCACAATAAGTTGAGGAAGTAGAATAATTGTCATGTGTAGAATAATAACAAGAATAACTTAAACGTTTGAACTACAGACTTTGAGTAGAAAAAGAAGTCAGACAGTGAGCAGGCCTGTCCATTGAACGCCCTGACTCAGAGAGCAGAGTTACTCACTGTTCAGCTGCAGAATGGAGTCGTACACTTTGCACTGGATTTGCCCGGTGCTCTGGAAGGCGCAGGACATCCACAGCCCCTCGTACATGGCCACCGCCGTGATGATGTTGTCCCCGACGTACGCGGACATCTTCCACTGGGGCAGAATGGTCCCAATGATGAGTCCGATGACTCCCAGCAGAGACAGGACGAATCCCAGGATCTGGAGCCCGGAGTTGGCCATTTTCTTCTTCTTCTTCTTCTTTTCTTCTTCCTCGATCAAGAGTCGCTCACCTGCTGTGGAGGTACAAACCCCCCGCTCCTCACCGGATGTAGTGGAAGTCTCTCTGCTGCTCACTGGCTCGCTTCTTGAGTTGTGTTTAGTTGGTGCTCGTCTCTTTGAATCTTGTTCGGAGATGAAGCAGATGTGGATTCTCTTGCTCTCGGGGATCCTCGCACCTGTTCCTCAGCCGCACCTTGAATGGGGACGGAGCAGCGGGGACGAGCTTTTTGAAGCGGTTTCTGTTGCTGGTGGGCGGGGACGCGCACGCAGTATCGACTCATCATGTGGCGTCGAACACCTGAAGTTTCATGATGTCAGGGTTTCCTCACACTGACCCCTGCGGGACACCGTACACACTCAGATCCATCATAACTCACACTGATGTCAACAATCATACTTTATTTGTATTGAAACTGTCAAAACAGCCCTGGTTTTATAAGGAGTCATTACTTAAAAACTTAGTCACGTTAT